ACCTTCCTACCTATCTATCTATCTATCTATCTATCTATCTGTATATCTATCTATCTATCTATCTATCTATCTATCTATCTATCTATCTATCTATCTATCTATCTATCTATCTATCTATCTATCTGTTTATCTATCTATCTATCTATCTATCTATCTATCTATCTATCTATCTATCTATCTATCTATCTATCTATCTATCTATCTATCTATCTATCTATCTATCTATCTATCTATCTATCTATCTATCTATCTATCTATCTATCAGAACTGTTCTCTGTTGTTTGTTTCTCAGTACTGTATCACAATACTGCGGCTTTGCGTAATTAAAGCCGTGCCTGCGTTGGTTTTTCGCTGCCAGATCATATTAGTTTTCCTCATTCGAGTGAATGAAATTTTACAGATGTGAGTGAAGTAATGTTTTTTCGATCGCTTGTGATTGCTAATTGCAAACATATCCTGTGTTTCTGGAGTAATTTCAATAGCTCAGAGCTTTGCTTATATATGGAAATAAAGAACAGATCTGGAGATAGAGACGTTAGAGTGATCTCTCGTCGTTATTATTAAGCCATTTACAGAGGGTTTTTTTATTTACAGTCATGGATTGTGCAAAAGGAGTGTAATTCATATGTACTGTATTTCACAATTACTCTCATGCATGCAATGTACATGTTTCCCACGCAAAACCAAGTTTTAAAGGACAGAAATGCAAAACACACCCAGCAATCTAGCGTGATTAATTTGGGAGGTTGTCGGTAGCTTGAGATCAAGCTTTAAAACTGTAATGGGGTCATTGTATAAGGGTAATATGCTGTTTTTAAAGGGATAGATCAAATAAATAAGTCATCATTTGCTCATTTTTACCTTGTATTTATTTTCTGTTGAACACAAAAGAAGATATTTTGAAAAATGCTGATTGCTTGGCTTTCCTAGTGTTTTATTTCATACTATGGAAGTCAATGGCATTCCAGCATTCACTAAAATATCTTCTCATGCGTTCAGCTGAAGAAATAAACTCCTAAAGGTCTAAAACCCACAGTAAATGCTTCATTTTTGAGTGAACTATCCCTTTAAGCATGCACAGAGATCCGTTGTCTTACCAGCCTCCTTTTTTTCCCCTTCACATTGACATTGTTTTATGGTTTGAGGGCAGCTACATTTATTATTTCTGTTATTGTTTTATTTCTGCACCTAAAAACTGCTTAAAACTGTAATGGGGTCATTGTATAAGGGTAATATGCTGTTTTTAAAGGGATAGATAAAATAAAAAGTCATCATTTACTCATCTTTCTCTTGTATTTATTTTCTGTTGAACACAAAAGAAGATATTTTGAAAAATGCTGATTGCTGATTTCCTAGTGTTTTATTTCATACTATGGAAGTCAATGGCATTCCAGCATTCACTAAAATATCTTCTCATGCGTTCAGCTGAAGAAATAAACTCATAAAGGTTTAAAACCCACAGTAAATGCTTCATTTTTGGGTGAACTATCCCTTTAAGCATGCACAGAGATCCGTTGTCTTACCAGCCTCCTTTTTTTCCCCTTCACATTGACATTGTTTTATGGTTTGAGGGCAGCTACATTTATTATTTGTGTTATTGTTTAATTTCTGGACCTAAAAACTGCTTAAAAACTGTAATGGGGTCATTTTGTAAGGGTAATATGCTGTTTTTGATGGGATAAATCAAGTTAAAAGTCATCATTTACTCAACTTTCACTTGCTCCTATTTGGGTTTCTCCCTTCTGTTGAACACAAAAGAAGATATTTAGAAAAATGCTGATTTCTTGGCTTTCTTAGTGTTTTTTATTTCCTACTATGGAAGTCAGATAAAATGAAAAGTCATCATTTACTCATCTTTACCTTGTATTTATTTTCTGTTGAACACAAAAGAAGATATTTTGAAAAATGCTGATTGCTGATTTCCTAGTGTTTTATTTCATACTATGGAAGTCAGTGGCATTCCAGCATTCACTAAAATATTTTCTCATGTGTTCAGCTGAAGAAATAAACTCATAAAGGTTTAAAACCCACAGTAAATGCTTCATTTTTTAGTGAACTATCCCTTTAAGCATGCACAGAGATCCGTTGTCTTACCAACCTCCTTTTTTCCCCTTCACATTGACATTGTTTTATGATTTGAGGGCAGCTACATTTATTATTTGTGTTATTGTTTTATTTCTGCACCTAAAAACTGCTTAAAAACTGTAATGGGGTCATTGTGTAAGGGTAATATGCTGTTTTTGATGGGATAAATCAAATTAAAAGTCATTATTTACTCAACTTTCACTTGCTCCTATTTGAGTTTCTCTCTTCTGTTGAACACAAAAGAAGATATTTAGAAAAATGCTGATTTCTTGGCTTTCTTAGTGTTTTTTTATTTCCTACTATGGAAGTCAGATAAAATAATAAGTCATCATTTACTCATCTTTCTCTTGTATTTATTTTCTGTTGAACACAAAAGAAGATATTTTGAAAAATGCTGATTGCTTGGCTTTCTTAGTCTTTTATTTCATACTATGGAAGTCAATGGCATTCCAGCATTCACTAAAATATCTTCTCATGCGTTCAGCTAAAGAAATAAACTCATAAAGGTTTAAAAAAACCAAAGTAAATGCTTCATTTTTGAGTGAACTATCCCTTTAAGCATGCACAGAGATCCGTTGTCTTACCAGCCTCCTTTTTTCCCCTTCACATTGACATTGTTTTATGGTTTGAGGGCAGCTACATTTATTATTTGTGTTATTGTTTAATTTCTGGACCTAAAAACTCCCAATGCGCATTAAAAATCTTGGCATCCTTCGATGCACATAAAAAAAAAAACAAGTTGTTTTGTATTAAATTTGTGGCTCTCAAAATGAGAACGTTTTTTGAAAATGCCCAATAAAAACGTCTATTTGAAACAGATTGCTTATAAAAATGATAACTGTATGCTTTTATGATCTCAGAATTGCTTTGAGTAAGTTAAACTCGATGCTTTTTCTTTTGTTTTTAGACTTTAGAGTCGAAGGACACTGGCAAACCTTTCCTGCATGCGTTCTTTGTCGATCTGGACGGCAGCATTAAGACCCTGAGATATTACGCCGGCTGGACAGACAAGATTCATGGGAAAACCATGCCGGTCGGTGAGTAAGACAAATAAAGCGGAGCCTGCTGAATGCGCCACTTTGTCAATTCAGCTGATTTGTTTAGTCCAGTGATTGTCTGTCATGTGGGCACTGTTACTGTGGCAACCCTGGCAATTTCAAAACTGGCTTTCTTTCTGGTTCTAGAGAGTAAACCGGGATTAAATAAGCGATGCATCACTGAATGTAAAATTGCAGTCATAATAATAATAATAATAATAGAAAAATATTTGTTTAATACATATTTGAACACTTCTGGGCATTAATTAAACTGAACTAATCTAGGCACAATTAAATTAAAAAGGTTGCAAACCATGGTAAAAACATTAGTACAGTACATCCCAATGAATATGATGAACAGTCCATTTTAATCCATATGTATTATTGTTCTATTCCTGCACATATGAAAAAATACTATAGTAATTTCTAGTAAATACAATGGTGTTTTTAAACCATGCTATAGTAAAGTACTTGGAATAATCTTTTGTGATGATTCTGTTGTTATTATGGTCACACAACAACTACAGTAATATCAATGACCCAATACTGTACTGCACACCACAGTTTACTGTAGGTAACACTCAATTATTCTACAGTATTTATTACAGTGCATCAATTCACTATTTACTACTACAGTATGCTGTAAATTTCATTAACAAAGGGTTGTAATAGGGCTGCTCAATTATGGGAAAAATCATAATCATGATTATTTTGGTCATGATTGTAATCACGATTTTTCAGAACGATTGTTGGTTGAAGTCAAACTTATTCGCCCTTCTGTGAATTTTTTTAATACATAAATAATTCCTAAATAATGCTTAACAGAGGATTTTTTACAGTATTTCCTATAATATTTTTTTCTTCTGGAGAAAGGCTTATTTGTTTTATTTCTTCTAGAATAAAAGCAGTTTTTAATATTCTGAAACCTATTTTAATAGCTCAATATTATTAACCCCTTTAAGCTATATATATATATATATATATATATATATATATATATATATATATATATATATATATATATATATATATATATATATATATATATATATATATATATATATATATATATATATATATATATATATATATATATATATATATATATATATATATATATATATATATATATATATATATATATATATATATATATATATATATATATATATATATATATATATATATATATATATATATATATATATATATATATATATATATATATATATATATATATATATATATATATATATATATATATATATATATATATATATATATATATATATATATATATATATATATATATATATATATATATATATATATATATATATATATATATATATATATATATATATATATATATATATATATATATATATATATATATATATATATATATATATATATATATATATATATATATATATATATATATATATATATATATATATATATATATATATATATATATATATATATATATATATATATATATATATATATATATATATATATATATATATATATATATATATATATATATATATATATATATATATATATATATATATATATATATATATATATATATATATATATAAATATATATAAATATATATATATATTTATATATATATATATATATATATATATATATAAATATA